TACTAGCGACTTATTGAAAATGTATCGACAAGTTAAAATTAATGATGAAGATCGCGATTACCAAAAAATATTTTGGAGAGATGATCCATCGAAGCCGATTAAAACTTACAGGTTGTGCACAGTTACGTACGGCACTACTTCCGCTTCATACCTGGCTACTCGCGTACTCAAACACCTAACACAACTAACAATTGACGAAGGAACTAAATTCCCAAAGGCAGCTGAAATAATATTACACAATTGTTATATTGATGATGTCCTATTTGGTTCAGACACAGTAGAAGACGCAGTAGAGTTAATTTCACAACTGAGTGAACTTTTACAAAAAGGTGGCTTTCAATTGCATAAATGGTGTACAAATGATCGCTCGATTTTGGAAACTGCTTTTAGTGCTCGGAACTCAAATTCTTCATGTGAAGTAGTTGATACTAAATCAATAAAATTATTGTGTTTGGAGTGGTATCCAACGCAAGACGAGTTTACTTGCCACTTTGGAAATTTCGAAAACAGAGAGTGTTCTTCTAAAAGAATAATTTTATCTTCTATTTCGAAAATCTTTGATCCACTTGGTTGGTTAGCATCTTTTATAGTTGCAGCAAAAATCTTGCTTCAAGACATATGGAAATTACAAATCTCGTGGGATGATCCCTTGCCAGATGAAATCAATCAAAGATGGAAAATCTATTGTGAAGATATCGCAAATCTTGAATCCATTCATATTCTTAGGAGAGTATTATTGCCCAAATCTACAAATGTAGAACTTCATTGTTTCTGTGACGCATCAGAGAAAGCTTACGCCGCAGTGAGTGATTATTTAAAGTCTTCAAATCATTCTTCAATTTCGGTGCAGCTACTAACATCAAAAACTCGTGTAGCTCCCCTGAAAGTAATCTCTATTCCTCGTTTAGAACTCTGCTCTGCAGTTCTATTGGTGCATTTGGTTCAAGCTGTGCAGAATTCATTGCAAATTCATGTTGACAGTATTTACGCATGGAGTGATTCAATGATAGTGTTTTGTCCTGGATACAATCAGAACCAACACGCTGGCAAACATTTGTAGCCAACCGCGTTTCAGAAATTCAATCAGTTTTACCTTCATCGCATTGGAATCACATAAAAGGAAAGGAGAATCCAGCTGATTGCGCATCAAGAGGTCTTTTGCCTTCAGAGCTTTCTACTCATGACTTGTGGTGGACAGGTCCTCAGTGGCTTAATTCAAATAATATTCCATTCTCTATCAACTTACCATTTTCAGAAGAGTCTTTAAGGGAACAACGGAAAAATATTTCTTGTTCAATTGGAACAGTCGCTTCGCAAATTCCAGTCCTTAATGAAGTTTCATCATTTTTGAAACTTAAAAGAATCATCGCATGGTGTTTTCGGTTTGCGAATAATTCAACTAAATCTACCGCAACAAGAATTAAGGGTTACCTTAAAACCGAAGAATTGCAATACGCTAGAAATGCAATTGTTAGAGTAGTTCAAATGAGATGAGTTTTTTAATGAATATAATCTTCTGAAAAGAATCAAACCGTTAAACTCAAATAGTAAGAATCCTTTCTTTGAACCCGTTTATCGATAAGAATGGACTTATACGCGTTGGAGGAAGATTAAGACAATCCAACATCGCGCAGGACAGAAAATATCCTATTTTGTTGCCCAAGAAACATCACATAACACAGATTATGGTGAATCATTTTCATATATTCCATCTTCATGCAGGCCCCCTGCTATTGCTATCAGTAATTAGAAGAGAATATTGGATAATCCACGCTAGGTCAGTTGTAAGACAACAGATTTGGAAATGTGTGAAATGTCATCGTGTACGAGCTAAAACATTTACCCAGATAATGTCTGATTTACCATCGTCTAGAGTCGTTCCGTCAAAGGTTTTCTCCAAAGTTGGAATTGACTACGCCGGGCCATTTCAAGTGAAGCCCAGGCAAGGTCGAGGAGTAAAACCAATGAAATGCTACATTTGTGTATTCGTGTGTTTTACTACAAGAGCTATACATATTGAATTAGTAGGTAATCTTACATCAGATTCATTTATTGCCGCTTTGAAGCGCTTTGTGTCTCGAAGAGGAAAACCAGGAAGTTTTTCCTAGCTCAGATAATATTGTGCGTATCGTGAAGATCAAAACCGCTACCGGAGTTTTCAAAAGACCAATTCACAAACTTAGTGTTTTGCCTATCAATGATTAAGTTTTTTTCCTAAAGCATTATAACTTTGTACTTTGCTTTAGCTATATAAGTTCCTGAATTGTATCAAGGCTTCTGTGCATCTGTTTTGAGAATAATTTAGTTTCATTGCATAATTTCATAGTACGTTTCTTGTGAATATTTTAATGATACATTTTTACATAATTTAATATTGTTATGATAATTTCATTTAGTAAAAGCTATTTAGTTTGAAACGATGTTTCAACGCCGGGCGGAATGTTTCGGCCACCAGAGCTCTCTGCCTGTCTGTTAGATATTATTTCGCAATGCGCAGATTGTATGCGTAGTTCGCATTTTGTTCTTGCATTCTTAAAACCCCTGATTGTAACTCTGTCGCTTTACTTTGTGCTGTGTTGTGTTCGAAAGTTCAAACCGCCGAATAAAGGTTAAATTTTACAGTCCACTCGCAGTGATGTATTCTTAGGTTTATTAATTTAAAGTTAAGATACCGCTTCGCTACAGCATACCATCACAAAATTTAATGCACATATTTTTTGCTTATGTATGCAGCTAAGTAAATAAAAAATACCTGAATTTATTTAAAAGTATCATTAAATAGAGTTCTTTCTTTCCTTTAGCTACAAAATATCTGCAAAAAAAGACTTTTTTTTAAATCCAGATTGGGCAGATTACTGAATATTATTATTTATTACTGAATTCAATACAAAACACAAAATTCAATTATTTTCAATACAAAAAAGTTATATGTACTTTAATATAAATAAAAAACACAGTTATGAAGTGGTTTGTAATGTCTAGCTTTCCTGGCCAATCACTGTTCTTCTGAGAACCAATCAAATGTTAGTAACTGCCAGTAGAAGCTGACATCATGTTTACACTTGAAACAATTCATTATATTGCTTTGTTCTGTAGAAGGAGGACCTGTTTCTTATACACTGCAATTACAAGTAGGAATTTTTGTAAAAAATTTTGATATTTAGTCAAGAAGCAATGACATCAAATAAAAGAGTAGATTGGACACCTAGAAAGAGATGTAATATTATTGTGCTACGAGAAAGTGGTCTTTCCTATGCTGAAATTGCAAGACAGGTGGATGGTTCAGTGACTACATCTGGAGTCCAAAAGTTTTGTTTACGATATCAGGAGACAAATTCAATAAAAAACAAAGAAAGAAAAGGCCGAAAAAGGTGCACCACATCTATTGATGACAGAAGAATAAAAAGACTATGTCTCCAAAATAGGAAAATGTCATCAGCGGCCATCAGAAGTGATCTGAATGATGCTGGTGTTTCTGTCAGTTCAAGAACAATCAGGAAAAGATTAACAGATGTTGGACTGAGAGGTAGAATTCCACGAAAAAAGCCTTATCTTAATTTTCAGCAACGAAAAAAAAAAAGGACTACAGTGGGCAAAGGAACACATTAATTGGACAGATGATCAGTGGTCACAAGTTATATGGAGTCATGAAACTAAGATATCGTTATTCGGTAGTGATGGGCAAAAATATGTAAGACGTAGAATAGGAGAAGAGCCACATCCTGACTGCATTCAAGCAACTGTGAAGAACCCAGTTAGTGTTATGATTTGGTCATGCATGTCAGCAGATGGTATTGGTTGCCTTCATGTCATCATTTTCATTGATGCCAGAAAATACATTGACGCTATTCTAGAACCAAAACTTCTACCTTCCATCAGAGATCTCTTTCCCAACAATGCTTCATTTATTTTTCAGCAGGATTCTGCTCCTTGCCACAAGGCCAATATATCGAAAGAGTGGTTTCATACAAAGAGCATTAAATTGTTGTCATGGCTAGGAAACAGTCCTGACCTCAATCCTATCGAAAATTTGTGGCACCATTTGAAAACTCTTGTCCGAATGAGGTGCCCATCAAATAAAAGGGAACTAATTGAGGCTATAATTGTTTCCTGGCATCATGTAATAACGAAAGAAGAGCTTAAAACTCTTGTCAGCTCAATGAAACGTCGATGTGAAGCTGTAATAAAAATAAAGGGTACCCTACTAAGTACTGATAACTCACTGCAATCATCATTATCTAATGTATATCGATAACTATTATTGTTTAACTTTTTTGTATTGCAAATAATTGAATTTTGTGTTTTGTATTGAATTCAGTAATAAATTCTCTTTAAAATGATATATACAAGTTTGCATTTTGTAAAACTTAACGTTTTCTATAAGCATACAAAGTTCAAAAACATAAAAATTTCCAAAAGTGTCCACAATTTTGGCCACCACTGTATATACTATATAATTCATATGTAATTGGCAAATTTTTGTGTTTTCAAGTAATATAATTAATTTACCTCTTAGCACAGCCAACGTGCATTACGCGGATAGACTGGAATTTTCTTAAAATACACCTGGAAAACCTGGAAAGGTCAGGGAATTATATTCTTCTGTTTGAGTGGCAACCCTGATTTCAGTAATTAACACCATTAAACACCATTCCACCATTTTTACAGCAGTAGTTTTAGACAGTTGTACTACACTATTCACTTTTATTGTTCTAAAATGAATGCCCTTCTCTCCCTAAAATATTAATTTTATGCTAGTGATGTCTGAATGTGTTTTGTAACAGTGCTGTCATCCTTCATTTTCTGTATGTTCCAGGTGCAATTTTGAAACTAATACCTCTATAATTATATACCTAGATCATTGTATTTATATATTGCCATTCTTATGCATTATAATTTATACCATTAATCCAAACTTTTTTATTGCCCTTTATATAACTTTTTATAGCTCTCTGAAGTATCTCTACATAAAAATAACTTTTTATTTATTTATTTCTAAGCGTTTAGAGAAAGACTGGAAGTTGATAAGAGATGAAGCTTTATCACTTATTGACAAGACAAACTCTGGTTTCTTGCCAGAATCAGAAGGACTTCAAGAAAAAGGAGATTGGAAGCAGTTTGAAATTTTTGCTAGAGGTAAATTAATTGTGTATTTTATTCCTGTTTTATTAGCATTTTTTTTTTTAAGAAAGGGAACTTGGATTAAAAGAGTGCATTAAATGCTTGTTTGCTCTTTGTTTTTATTTATTTTATTCATTTATTTATTTGCTTATTTAGGAAGAAAGATTGAGAAAAATTGTCTGAAAGTACCTAAAACTTGTGCCTTAATTGCAGAAATCCCTGATGCAGCTGGTTGTAAACGAGGCCAGGTTAGAAAGATTTCAAACTATAACTCTTAGTAATAAATAATGCCTTTTTTGTGCTATTTGGGGACAGCAAAAATTCCTACCCCTTTAAAAAAATTTAGCTGCAGCATATTCAGAGCGAATTTCATACTAGAAAACCTTGGGCATATTAGATTACTAAATGAAAGTAAATTAGGAATAAATATATAGTATAATCAGTGATATACCATATTTACTCCCATATTTCACCTCTTCCTATTTAGCTTTTCTGAAGACAGCAGCTTTCTAGCAGACAGTTTATAAAGTTTCATTTTATGGAAACAGTATAAAATGTATGCACTGCTAACAAAGTGTACTGTGTGAATAAAATGTCTGCTATTGAAATTGTTAACTTCTTCAAAATATAGAATGCCATAATATTAGCATATCTACCCATACGTTTTTTATCATGCTATATTCTTAATTTAAGACTTTACCATCAGAAATGAAATACGTGGGTTAATCTTCTGACCTTGATTTTCCATATGTAAATTTAGAAAAAGAAGGGGTGAAAATGTGCAAGTAAATTTTGTAAATAACATATTCATTTGGAAAAGTGTAACTCAGTAATACTCATGAAACAAGATCTTATAAAACTTCTTAATTAAGAAAATATCTCGTATGAGGAAACATTTCACCAACAAAATTTTTAAAACTTTATTTCTATAATTGCAATGTTAAAAATTGAGAACTGTCAAGTTGTTTAAAGTAATGGTGCATGAGCTGCTGAAATAATGAATTTGAAAGTTTGGGATAATTTAATGTCATGTATTCGCATTGTTATAAATTTCTAATTTTTGTAAGTTGTTCTAAAATCAAATCATCTGGCATTAACTCAAAAAGGGAAAAATTCAATAAAATGTGAAACCAAACAGTTCTTCATGCTGAAATTTCAGTTTTGTAAAGTGATTTATATAGAAATTGCATATTTTCTGATTATTTATTACACATTATTTAAGTACAAAAATTGTGCTCATAAAGTAATTGTGACATTTTCCTTGCTGTCTGTTCTCTAAAGTTCCCACTCAGGTTTCATATGTAAATTGTGTTAGCTGTCTGTTCACTTAAATTTGTTAAATTTCATTTTGTATAGTGTAGGAGCATGGCATAGTTTAAAATGCTATCAGACCTGCTAACTACCTTCAACTCTGCATCAAAAGAAACATTTCTTATAATCATGTCATTATCGTCAGAATATTTGATTAGTTAATATACGTAAAGACCTATGCAAAAGTGTACCAGCTATATAAGCATAACAGATCATTATGTGCAATTGTTCTGTCTAGAAACCTCCTATTTGAAATAGTGCTGAGAGAAATACATTTATTGGAAAAGTTTCCTTTAGCATCATATTCATCATTCTTTTATATCATAACCCCATTACTTTGCAACCTCTTTTATATATATAAAGCATTTTTGGAATAGGTTCCTTGCATTTTACTTCCATTATCAGTATTCAGATATTTATATCTATGACTTCTAAATCAAAGACCTTTACCTTTATTTCTAGTTTAATTTTTTCTTCACTTTTTAAATCCATTTTGAGACACAGTATTCCAGATTTTAAACATAATACAGTATTTACACTAAATTTTCAAGGAAAATTTTTCCCCTTTGTTCTTTCTTCATGCCCAGACTGAAATGGTATTTATTCTTGTGATTATACAGAATTTGAATTTTATGAAGCATTCCTCTATAAAATTTTTTGGTAGGCAAAGGGACATTTTAAATAGTGTTGCATTTATGACAGATAGTAAAAACAAAAAAAAAAAAAAAAAAAAAAAAAAAAAAAAAAAAAAAAAACACTTACATTTTTTTTTTTTTTTTTTTTTTTTTTTTTTATAAAAAGCCTTTAATTTCTAAAATCTGATTTGGGTATTTCATTTGGGATTTTTGCTTCATTATTTACAATAATAAAGCCCTTCCAGTCAAATTTAAATTTTTTTCCCTGTTTTAGGTGAAATTTTCTATAATGCATCCCTCAACTCATGTATGGGCACATACAGGACCCACAAATTGTAGGCTGAGAGCTCATTTAGGCTTAGTTGTTCCTGAAGGAGCTAGCATTAGAGTGGCAAATGAAACTAGGTAAGTTACTGTATTTCATTTTTATTATTAAGGAGTGGCCGTGAGATGATTATATCTTTGCAAAATATCAAATTGCTGCCAGCTCTCTTAAACTCCATGAACACAAAATCTGTCAGTGATATTCCACTGCTTATCAATTTAACCAAGTAGGCAATTTATAATCATGTATGAATATGACATTGTTTGCACGAGTTTTTCATTTGTGATCTGCATTTAGCTAGACTTTTTATTCAGATGTCCCAAACATTATAAATAATTAACATTATAAATAATTAAAAAAATTAAATGTGAAATAACTAAACTGCAGCTTGAAATTTGTTAATGAACTGAAATGCAGTCTAAAATATTATGAGAATAAACAAGTTAAATCAGACATACAACTGTGACAAATGTCCACCTCATGTCTAGAAAACAATATTATAAGGCTGTGTGGTTGGTTTTTTTTGACATTTGTGATGATGGACATTTTCCATTTCCTCAAGTTTGTACATTCCTTATTATTTGTAGTTTGCATTGCATTTACAAGCTTATTGCACATGTTTCCTCACTGCATTCCAGTTTTGCAGAAACGTAATACAGTATCATTACATTGATAACACTATGATAGAGATAGCAAGGAAATCAAGCTAGATTATGTAAAAGCTGCTGACATAAGTTAGTTTCTCAAAATGTATGGTTAAGAGTTTGACTGAATAGAAAATACTGAAGGAAATGGAATTTTTGCATTACCAGATCCGTCATTCAAAATGAAATCAATAAAAAAGCCACTTCTCTATAACTTTATTTGCCAAAATATTTCTTTCCATAAATAATATCTGACATCCACTTTTAATTATTATTCTTTTAAGTTTTACGAACACTTTGTATGTATGAAATCGGTGCTATGAATGAACGACAGTTATAAAGCTAAAATTAATATTAGTAAATCCCCCAGCAGTAAGTCGCTGAGCACTGGTAGTTTATTCCGAGGTCCCAATCCCGCAAACGGGCTGCCTGCATGAGCGTTTTCGTGGTTTTCCGCATGTGTATGTAATGTGTATATGAGCCAGTTTCCTTTAGAAAGTTCTCCACAAAGGCATCCCTTTCCTTAGACAAATAGTCCTCGAGGCTTTGCCATAATAACATAAAAAACAAAATAATAATATAATAGTAAAATATTCTTTGATTCTGCTTTGATTAGTAAAAATTAATAAATTAATAAAAATTAAAAATTGATTAATAAAAATATGATTTTCTAAAAAATAAAAAGCAAGCAATCAGTGAGAATGCCATTTTGCATAAAGCTGGATCTTCAGATCAGCAGTACTTATTGACAGTTGCTTCCTAAACTTGTCATTGGAAATCTTGAATATGACTTATTATTCGATAATTAACGTGAAAAAATTTAAGGCTGATTCTAATGATCCTCTGCTTGCCAGTCAGTAAATGTAAATTATGATAATATAAAAAGTAAAGCAAAGTCTGTAACACCAAAGAATATATTCAGTAGTACTTATCAACATAAAGTTCTTTCTGGTTTCATTTTCAGTTAAAAAAAAACTGTAGTTTTCTGTTTCTGGTTCATTTAAGTCATAAACAGTTGACAATTATATTCAGATTTTACTCTGAAGAGCCAAAACATTATGACCATCTACTGAGTAATGCGTTACATGTCCTTTGGCCTGCGAAACAGCTGCAACTCGGCATGGATGCTACAATTTCTTGGTAGATTACTGGAGACAGGTTTTACTGAATGTCTAAGCAGCAGTCATGCAAAGTCAAGATAGTCTGACATGGTGCTGTTTGATCTCTGAGCTGCCACTCCATGACATTCCAAATGAGCCCTATCAGATTAAGATCGAGTGAGTTAGGTGGCAAGGGCATTAATTGGAATTCATGCTTATGCTCCTTGAACCACTCCAATACAATTTGAGTCTTGTGACATAAGGCATTGTCCTGCTGGAAGATTCCATTCTCAGATGGGAAGACAGATGCCAGGTAAGGATGCAGCTGATTTATATTAATATAATATACAGTTATATTAATATAGTCCCCAGTTTCTACAGTCTGTTCTACCGCAAGAAAGAGTTCCAGAGCTGCCCCATGAGAAAGTCCCCCAAAGCATAATGCCGCCACTTAATGTATTACTTGTTGTACGGGAGAGCAATTGTTCCCCTGAAAGACAGTATACCCTGACACAAACATCAACGTGATGAATAAGAAATCATGATTTATCTGACCAGGCAACTCTCTTTCACTTATAAATGGTTCAGTATCGATGCTCCCGGGCCCACTGTAGACGTAGTTGACAATAATGTTTGGTCAGTCGAGGCACACAAGTGGGATGTCTGCATAGTCCCATATATGCCGAGTTGTGTGTTCTGAAACATTTGCACTTAAGCCTACATTGTATTGGGCTGTCAGTTGAGTCACTGTCTGAGACTGAATTTGCTGTACCAAGTGGGACAGTCTAGGTTGCCCTTTTTTTTTTATGATGCATGAATATCCTACACCTTAGCGTCTACTGCTGTTTCTTTCCCATTTATCTACTTTGCATAAATACTAACAATGGCAGATCGTGAACAGCCTACCTGTCATGCAATTTCGGAAATAATTGTTCCGAATCTTTGGGCTTTTACAATCTGGCCCCCATCAAATTAACTTACATCAGCATCCTTTCCCATCACTCACAAGAGTAGTGCAAGAACGATTCCTTACCTTCTCCAGCAGCAATTAAATAACATTCCCACTTAATCATTTACTTTTCAACTCATCCAAATAAGTTCATTGAAAAATATAGGGATGGTCATTGTATTTTACAGATATTTCTTTACCTAATGTTTTCACTAACTACATTTTTTCAAGCATAGTAATGATATATGTTTGTGTTTAACACTAATCCGATGTTTTGCATCTTATTATGTTTGGTTGATACCCTGAAGGTTTAGGTATAAGCGAATGTAAAAAAATAATTGGGATTTAAAACCAAAATTGTTCGTGCAACATTAGCAGTTTAAATCCCTGTCTTCAACTAATAGCATCACACTAGTGGCAGGTTCATAAACTTAAATGCAGCAAATTGCTATATCAGTTCTAATACTGCAATCTGTAATTTGGAATCTGTAAAATACCCTTTTAAATTACATCATGCACATGAAAATGCAAGGTATTCATATTTGAATTCATTTAAAAAAAAAAAAAAAAAAAAAAAAAAAAAAAAAAAACTAACATACAAAGTTCTAAAGGCCAAAAAATTATGTACTAATATAAGAATAACTCTAAAATTAAATATATATATGACCATGTTTTGCCTTTTGTTTTTTTGTAGAAGCCATGGTTACTTGGAAATACACTGCTGTAATGAATGCTCATATTGTTTATATTCTAATTACAGTAAACTTTCTTGTAGCTGTACACAGCAAATGGTTAATCTCAAAATAACAATACTTTTGAAGGTGTAATTCAAATCTAGAATTTAGGTCTATGAGTAAAAAAAAAAAAAAAAAAAAAAAAAAAAAAAAGGTAAGGTCTAATAATGTGATGACTTAAGTGTGGAAGACATTTGTGTCATATTTCTGCTGCCCAATGAAACAAACCATATTTAACCATACCAAGGAATTATACAGAATATAACTTTGTGTGAATACTGAAGGTAGTATCTGTTATTTTCAGAAGCAGTTCATACTGTGATTGTGTTCACATATGACAAGTAATCAAGATTCTGTTGGTTTTGGAAATGGAGTTAATTTTTTTAAAATTTCTTATTATGAAGAAAAATCTAAAATAAATAAATTTATTATGTATTATGGCTGAAACCTTAATATGAAAACTGTAATTGTCTTTAGCAATTTCATTTGTTAACAGCATCCTGTTAATTAGACCAACTTTTAAAAACATTTAACTGTATGAAAAAATAATAATTAAAAAACTGAAGGTTTAATTATTTTATTGATTGCTTTTACTGTGATTTGTGCATGTTGAATAAATATTTAGTTAGATTTCTTGCTTTATTAGTTTTTGTTACATATTTAAAAATGTCATGTTGAAAAAAATAAATACATATGTAAAATTATCGCAATAAACTTACATGTAAATTACTTTAGCTTAATTTTTAAAAAATTTTGATGATTTTTTGTTGTGTTTAATTGTGATTTTTGTATTGTAATTTGTGTTGTAATTTTTGTATTTTAATGTTTATATTGTATTGTAATTTTTTAAAGGAGTTATGCATAAAGTTATGTAAATCTGTTGAAGTCTAAGGTATAAAGGTAAAGTTAAAAATATGACATAAAGTACAATAACAAATACAGCATTTGCCTTGGAATTACGAACAGATTATTCTGTAGATTATATGTTTGGAAATTAAAAACTTATTATTAACAAGACTTATGGATAAAGTATTGGAATATACAAGGGCAATTAATTGTTGATTTACTTCAATATTTATATATGAAAATGTGATAATATGATTTCAGAAGTGAATTTAGAGCAAGACTGAAAAGAATTTAATAAAAGCAAGAAGTGACATATGTAGTTTTATTGAGCATTTTCCCTGATTTGGCTGTTAATTAGAAGTCATGAGATGCATTTATTTTGTCATTATTTGCATTTTTCACTATAATTTGCACACAGACTTGAAATTCATATATAATATTCTTGATTATTTACATTTAATTAAAATAAAATTTTTTAATATTTTCAGGAAATGGGAAGAAGGCAAAATTCTTCTGTTTGATGATTCATTTGAGCATGAAGTCTGGCATAATGGTAGCACATTTCGCTTAATTTTGATAGTGGATTTTTGGCATCCAGAATTAACTGCTTATCAAAAGAGAACTCTTACACCTATATAATAATTCAGATGGTTAATTCCAATCATATAAAAGTTTTAATCAGCACTGGTACATCATTAAAAATATTATTTTAGGATATTTAGTCTTTTATTTTTAGTATTTTATGAGTTTTTTATATCCATTTTTAAATGATTAAGTTTGTTTTATAACTACAGACACTATTAAAAATCAGTGTTGTGCCATGAAGACATGTTGTCATTTGGACATTTTTTTGTTGCTTTCTAATGTGGATTTTTAATCTGTATAAAGGTTTTTCTAATTGAATTTTTGTATAAAATAAAATTAAATGGAACTTTTTATCAGAATGTTAATCATTAATTTAATTAATTTGATCTTGGGGGGAAAAGTAAAAAACAAAATTTCTTAAATTTATTTTTTAACTTAGCTATGATTTGTATAAAAACTTATTGAGTGAAATGTTTTAAGGAAACATTATATAGGTTTATATTATCTGTTAAGAATAAATATCAACTTTAATTTGAATTGTCTTCATTGAATCTAGTCAAAAAGTGAAATAAGTTTTTATATCTCTAGACTGCAGCTTTTTTTTAACTGGTTATATGATTATTGCAAGAGGGGGAGGGGAAAGATAGCTTTATTAAAAATGCATGTGATATATGTTATTCTTTTCCCCCTTTGAACTTAATTTGACATGTTTTCTTCAGTGTTATTAAAATATGAAGTTGGGGGATTGATAAGTTAATTTTTATATCAAAACTTTGTACTGGAATTTGTAATATGAATATGGAAGATCTTACTAGTAATAGAAAATTTAAGAAATCTTATAAATTTTAAGAAGTCTGAAAATTTTGCTGGGGAATGTTTTAGAATTTTAAATTAAGGTGACTATATCAGTGAAAATACAAAGTAATGAATTATTTTAACAAAGTGCCTAAACTGGTCTTTCCATGTTTTCAAAATTATTTTTTAGTGTTCTGTGTGCCAATTTAGTGAGATTCATAGCTCTACTAGCTTTATGTCTGCTTTATTTTATCTAGTGAACAAAACAAAATGTGATATTTGCAGATTATGTACTTATATTTTTTTATCCACAATAAATAGATTTGTAATAATTAACAAATTTCAGTTTTCATATTGAAAACAACAGTTACAGTTTGTTTTTTGGTCAATTTGCTGTACATTTATAATCTAAATGTATAATTTTCAGAAATTTCTGTTCTACAAAAATATCACAATGAAATTGCTGATTGGTTTATTTGAAGATTAGAGTGTTTTTCCTCATTTTTTTAATGTTTGGAATAAACTTAATGTCTATGTGTCCATTTGTTATTTTACATAAAGTTATATGTGAGGATACCTATTGTACATGTTAAGGATTGTTTGAGATGTATGCTCATTTTCCCCCTTGTGTATTTTTTTTTTTTTTTTAAATTTAAGTTTGCAAAATTTACTGATTGTTCTTCAGCTACAATTAAAGAGTATTTTTTGTAATATCTTTGTGTCATTGTTTCTTTTTCTACGATATGATATGTACAGTATACATTCTCAGTTAAACTAATATTTTAATTTTAAACATTAGGGCCTAAAGAGGTTGATTGTGGTCTGAATAGAGCTGGAATTATGGACTTTTAATCATCTCAAATCTGAATTTGTGTAATGTAGGCTCATTTTCGCTCTCAAATTTTCTTTTAAAAGTGTATTACTTAGATATTATATAAAATTAAAATTTTTAAATTATTGAAAGAAGTCAAGCAGGAATTGCAGTCTTTAGGCTGAAAGAAGATGGAAAACAGAAGTATCTAATATCAATAGAACTGATTAAACCTGTTTTTAATTTGCATCCATTTACCTGTTATTTATTTAATTTAGTCTGTCAAGAAGTTTTATTTATACAGAAAAGTTATTTTTACCTTTGTCTTTCACAGAAACAGGGAAGAAACTCATATTCTTAAGTTTTGGGATGAAGTGTTGGGCTAAAAGATGATGGAGAGCAGAAATACCATCTATTGACGGAACTGATTAAATCTCATTAATAATTTGCATCAACGTCTCAGTGATGTTGAAAGTTGATATAATTATATGAGGGACATTATAACAGAATGTAAAATGTCTTTAAACACTGATAGCCTAGATATTGCACAGACTGTGAAATATTATTTACTCACATTACACAAAAGTACATGAAACTTTAGGGTCACAAAATTCTTCTGAAGACCCTACTGGTAAAAATAATACAGATAATTTAGTGAATAAATGAGCAGCTTACCAAAATTCAGTACATGCAATGAACCATTTACAAGTATCTAGCACGTCCTCATTTCTAACACTTATCAATATATATACTTTTAAGTTACTATTGTAATTTACACAATTGTCAGTAAACATTTGTCTCTTTCTGTCAAATTTTGGTTAAAACTGTTCTCTGTGTGTGGTCCTGATAGATCCCTTAGGCTGCTATCACACGTCGGTTTGTTTCGGAAGAACAAGTGTTTGGAACAATTTTTTCTGCTTTGTCACAACAGCCAATCACCACAGATCGCTTTGGGGTTAACACAGGGAAAACTGGTTCCCCATTACAAACAAGCTGATAGTTGATTGGTTGGAAACGAACAACCTGCAATTTGTTTGGAAATGAAGGAAAAAGTCGCCCGTCTTTCTTTCAATAGTAAACCAGGCAGAAAAATTGTCCAAAACAGTTGTTCGTGTGAAACAAACGCCGTGTGATATGGGCCTTAGGCTTCTTTGAATCGGTAGTTTTGTATCCACTGTCATTTTTATAGCTCGGGCTAAAATGATGTTTTTTCATATATTGTGTCTAAGCATCATTGCTATGACAGTTTTGTCTTGCTTGCAGATAAAAAGTTGACTTCAGACTTTTTGTGCTTCATTTTATTTTAATATATCAATTATAACATCAAGATTTTATCCCAGTAGTGTTTGAAGATTTCAGTGTATCAGGACTCAATGCGGTTACTCACTTGAAGTTGAAACTGGGATTGACTTTTGCAGCAGTCATGAAAGTATGCAAGAATTTCAGCAATCTTAAGATAATAATTATGTTGTAAAAGCAATGTGCTGAGGAACTAGAGTTCTTTGCAGCCACTGGGATAACCGAATCCAAACTTGTATAGCCACTAATATGACTGCATCCCGGAAAACACATGTTGCTGAAGTTGGCTATTATGCCAGTTCACTCAGTTTGTGTAAATATTCACAAAGAGGTGTTATTAAACTTTTACAGGAAGCATTATTCTCAAAGCTAATGATTGGGCATGTATTCTTTTTCATGAATGAATTTGAATTTGTTTATAAAATTATCTGTATCATTTCCTATAGGGATATTTTTTCACCTTGTTTATATAGTATAATTTAGAGGATTTAATCCAGTTAATTAAAATTTAAAATATAGGGTTTGACCTTAATTGATGTAGCAAGAACTGAAACCAGTAGTCTTTGTGGCAAAGATGTAAACAAATTTTCTGAGAATGTTATCGTAACTTAAAATATTTTATGAAAAAACTGAAAAGTATAGGCAACATAATAAGCATTATTAGGGCACATGCAAAAATATGTAATTATGGAATAAAGCATATGCTGATACACATACATTAGTTTTGAGAGAGAGAACTCCTTGAAAATAAAACTGTCCCATTTCTTTCTAGATAAGAGTTTGTTTTTGAGTTAGTATTATATGTATTCAATGGCTGCTCTTTATTAGAATGTTGTAAGAATGCTAGAGCCTTTTATAATGCATTTTAGTGTAGCAGTTTGTCATTTTCTGTTTATGGGTGACAAAATTTGACATTGCAGTGTATAACTTGCTGATGAACTCCTGCCAAACAAAGAAACCAAAGGAATAGATCTCGAGATTTAAATCCTTGCATGTTTGGAAATCTATGGAAAGAAAGGCTATAATTTGTCATAACACTTCCAATACTTTTAATGAGCTATATGAATTTATCTGATAAATGCATATTGCTATGGAATTGTTTAGATCTTGATGCTATCACTCACGTTTTAAAGTGTCATGTTAGATCTACAAGAAAATATTGTATAAAGTATTCAATTTAAAGAATTGAGGTATATAACTACAATTAACAATGGTAGCTAACAAGTTAAAGGAAGAATATAAGTAATGAAATGTGCATTTGGGAGGCACATGCAAATATTTTATGTACATTGGGATTTTTTTATTTTGGGAGCAAGGAATCCTTGAAAATAAACTAACCCATTTCTCGAGTTGAACATAGGGTATTTGAATAGCTTTTTAAATTTTTTTTACTGTCAAACTATGCATTATTTAAAGAAAGTTTCAGACAAGCAGAAATATTGTTCTTCCTGATTGTTGAGCTTCTGAATTTTGCTTGACTACTGACTGACCATCTGGTGATATCACCAGGCTGAAAAGAATTGCAGGCGCAAAAGAGTATTTTCGAATTTATTGAGTGCATGGAATTTTAGTCTGGGGTTATAGGGCAGAAATGCATTTGCATAAAATGTGAGTCATTCAGAACTAGGTTTTTTTGGGAAATTATGAATGCTACCTCAAGAACTCTGTCATGCATAAAGACTTGAAAATTTGTTACATCAAGAACAATGCAATCAAATTTTACCTTTCTGTCAAACATCATCAAAACTGTGTCATTGCTACTCAAAAGAATGTGCCCTTTCCCATTTGGGCATTGGTATATCAGTGTTATTGCAATCTTGCTCGTCACTCTGTTCATTTCTTCTGCAAGCATCTATTTTTATAAATTTTGTATTTGTGTAGTTATTTTAAACAATTTTTCTTTATCAATGCAAGAAAGACGTGATTATTTCTTCTTTTCTCAAAAGTCATAGATGGTATTTTTTCATTCAGTCAGTATTGAACTGAAGAATTTGAATAATAGTCCTTCGTTGGTAGTCTCTGTGCTTATAATGAGAACCAGTTTCCTCTCTATGAGATAACCCTGAATTAATCTGTGGTTATTTGCAATTGTATATCATGTCACAAAGCAGAAAAATTGCATTAAGTAGCTGTTTTTAAATATTTTGCGTGTGCAGTATGACCTAACCAGTGTTAGGATTTCCACATATATAAGTACCTTTTGCAGTAAAGTAATCCACAGTCATGGTATATTACAGTTCTGTGATCAAAATTTAGACACGTTCTGGTGTGAGTTTTATATTGCATGCAATAAAACAATGAGTATACATATTTCCCATAAGAAAAACTCACCTTTGGTTACCTCATTTTATATTGTTTCTAACTGGCATTATTGCATATATGCATAAACACTATCAAATATCCATATACAAATAATTTCCGATATACCATATCATTTCCATGTCCTATCATACTATATGTATTGTACAATTTCAAGTCCGTAACCTCCTTGTTCCCCCCAAGAACTCATGGAGATGCCCTCCACGCAGTCCAAGTGAAGCCAAAAAAGGGGGAAAGCATGCCCTTAGTAGTTGTGGCTTAGAAAGATTGACGTACTCTAACCAAACCCAATTTTAGTTCCTGGTAGTTGTAAAGGATCGCAGATTCTTCATGCCCTCTTTCCTTTACTTTTCTCGCCATTTCATTTTATTTCTACATTATGTAATTGCTATAATTTCTACATTATGTAATTGCATCCTGTAATTAATTAATGCTACCATTAGAAGTCGTGAACACAAAACAGTAACTATGAACTCATATAAGTACATATAATTCTCAAATTTTTCATGTTATAAATATTACTTATGTTTCAAAAAAACTTAATTTGAATAAACAATGATAGAAATATGTAAATTTTATGTTGTTATTTTTAAACTCGCACAACAAATGTGACTAAAAATCAAATCCAGTTATTATATATTTACTTGAGCACAAAATAAAATGTAGTTAAAACACATAAAAGGTGAGATCTGTAATGTAATTATGATCAGACATTAAAGTAAACTTTTTTTTTTTTTTTTTTTCTTCCATGGAGACCTAGCCACTCTTCCTCCCCTAGTTTACTTATCATTTTGCCATGACATATATGTTAGTTATGAATATCACTTTTATTATTATTATTATTATGAAAAGGTAAATCTGAGGACTATATATTCTTCTCCGTATACTTTACACAAAGAAAATACTCAAACTCTTTCTTGAAGGCCATTCAAATACACATTTCCATTATTCTACTTTTTTATGCACGTTCTAAAACATTCTTTTATATGGACATGAAGTCGGAAATGTAGACATTATTTCGCTATAACAATTCAGTGCCTTTTAGGCCTTTCACATCTACGCATACAAAATCAGAAAACGCACTGAGAACTTGAAACCAGCTGGCGTTTTACCTCACTTTGCTTAGTAAGGTAATTGTTTCCTTGCCCTGGCTTCACTTTCTTTGTACTGGAATAGCAGAGACGCCATCTCCATGTATTCTAACCTTGGTTCCCCCTGTGCCTAAATTTCAGGGACATTATAACAGAATGTAAATTTCTATACCTAAATTGCATCCCTGTTCCT